CACCGTTTATGCTTCTTGGAGTTTGGATCCTACTAGGAGGTAATCCCAAGAAATTTCCCCCTACCGGATTAGGTGAGAGACACAACTAATCCAGTTTTCTTTCGACAAGCTTCAAGCTTCACCTTAGGAAGAGATCTTCTTATCATATCCAACCCGTCGTCAGTATGGATCTTCTCAAGTTGCATCAACTTGGCCTCTAGCATATCACGAATCCAATACTACTGCTTATCGATGTGTTTGCTCTTATAATGATAAGTAGGATTCTTCGCAAGATGAATGACGCTTTGACTATCACAATGAAGTGAATACTTCTCGTGATCTAGCCCCAACTATTTCAAAAAATTCATCATCCATGAAATTTCTTTGGATGCCTCTGTAGCAGCAATATACTTGGCCTCAGTAGTTGAAAGAGCTACACATTTTTATAATTTGGGCTGCAATATACTATTCTCCATGAAAAGTTATCATGTATTCCGAACCGGACTTCCGAGAATCAGGATCATTAGTCATGTCCGCATATGTATATCCATCTAGTTGTGGTTGTGGAGAAATCAGGAAAAGAATCAGAAAAACCAGAAAAACTGGCATAAGTCGACTCATGCACAAGGCTAAGTCGACTTATGGTAAGTCGACTCATTAGTGTGCACGAGTCGACTTACGATCTGCAGCGGAGTTGTGATTTTTTCCTCTGCCAAGTCGACTTATAATGTCTGTTAAGTCGACTTATGAAGTCCTCTCCTGTTGCTGTTTTTTCCTCTGCCAAGTCGACTTACGCCCTCTGTTAAGTCGACTTATAGCGGGTTTTTTGCATACGCAGGTTTCCTATTTGCAGTCTAATTGGGGTTTTGTTTTGGTATAAATAGGGAAACGATTTGAGAGGGTTGAATATCAGAGATTGAGGAATCTTTTGAGCATTGTGAGAGGGAGATATTGTGAGCAAGGTGAGGTCTTTGGTTGAGGGTTAGTTTGAGAGAATTTGTGTGATTGTAACCCTTTGTACTCTCCTTGATTTAGTGAAATCTCCCCATCCTCTCCCCGTGGACGTAGGCAAATTGCCGAACCACGTATATCTCTGTGTTTGGATTGATTTGGCTTTATTGGTTGGATTTGTGCAAGAGTTTGTCTTTC